GGGTGGTGGATGGATTGGTAGATAGATGGGTGGATGAGGATGGGTGGAGGATGGATTGGTGGATAGATGGGTGGAGGATGGATTGGTAGATAGATGGGTGGATGAGGATGGGTGGAGGATGGATTGGTGGATAGATGGGTGGAGGATGGATTGGTGGATAGATGGGTGGAGGATGGATTGGTGGATAGATGGGTGGATGAGGATGGGTGGTGGATGGATGGGTGGATGAGGATGGGTGGATAGATGGGTGGGTGGAAGGATGGATAGATTTTCTTTCCTTTTTTCACTTTTCTCTCGCTCGAGAATAGAATAAAGCGCATTTCTTTATCAGACATTAGAACTAGAGATGCACTAATTAGAAATGAACAAAACTATCCTCAGCAGTTGCTACAACATATTACAACCAGGACAAAATAACGATGGCCCTCTGTTTAGGGCGGTTAGTACTTCAACAGAAATGTCTCCTGGTGTAAGTAGAATGCCTAGATTATAGGAGTGTCCAGCTCTACTCTTCTAGAGGTGCCGTCCTGCTGTTTCTAGATGCATCCCATTTTCCAACACACCTAAATCCAACCACTTGCTTAATAGAAGGCCTCTGCAGAGCTGATGGAAGGGAAAATGCTGAAGAAAGGAAACGGGTTTTTTAGAGATGGGATGCATCTAACAGTTTTAGGATAGTAGGTTTTGAAGACTAGCCTTGGGAACTCCTGATGTAAAACCTTTATTTAATCTTGAAAAACAATGTTAGCTTCTTAATTACACATGTATCGTATCAGGAAGCTGATAACTGCAAGAGCACAGTTGTCAGCCTTCTTTTTAAACAGTTTATATTGTTTATGTTTCAGGTTTCAGCTCAAAAAGGAAAAAACAGCAGCAGAGGGAGATAAAACTGTTGGAGTTCCAGCCACTGTAACGGAGGCCTCACCCAGCCTGTCCCCTCAGCCTGATCATTCTCCATTGGTTCCAGTGACGGCTACAGAAGTTGCACCAGCTAATAACTCAGGTCCTGATGAGCCATTGGAAACCCTACCTCCGCTGATTTCAGCCAGTGCTGCAAGCTGTGTTACTGAAGATGTTCCAAAACCTCAGGATGTGGTTCGACCTAAAGTCTTTCCCACGGGGAGTGAAATAGCAGTGGAGGATGGAGAGGAAGCCGGACCTTCAGGACTGAACTCTCACTCATCTCCGTCCTCCGCCTCTGCACCAGCAGCTCCTTTCATTCCTTTTTCTGGTGGTGGTCAGCGCCTCGGGGGGGTGGGCGGAGTCTCTGGACGCTCGCTGTCTTCATCTTCTTCCTCATCTCTGTCAGCTCTCACCACAACAGTGGAGTCACCCAAAGCCAAAAAGGCCAAATCCAGCCTCAGCTCTAGCTTTAAAGTGAGCCCCAGCAACACAAATCATTCCTGTACTTTCTTTGATTCATTTCATAAAAATAAAAAAAAACCTGAGAATAGGGCAGAGTAGTAGAACAGAGTTGGGGATGGTCACAGAAGACACATCAGTGTTTGTGTCAGATTTCAGTCTGAAAAAGCGAAAACGCCTCCGACATTAGAACGATTCAAGCGATCGCAGACCATCAACAATCTATGGAGGAAAAAAAATACAAGAACCTCTACTGAAACATACTACAGGACCATATGTTTGTTTTAAGCATAGTTCTGAAACAATATAACCATGACGTCCAGCAGGAAATGCATCAATGTCACCATATGCCATCCCTAACTAGAAAGAGAGCACTGTGAAGGGGGAAATACTCCAGATGCATGTGGTATATTTTCTCAGTGTGCTATGGTCACATATATGACACCATTTGGTTTTAAACAGAATATTTACTCTAGATGCGGAATAGGAGCATACGCTTCACTTAGTTTAGGTTTTGTTTCTAATTTCAGGCATCTATATTGGCAAGAAAAAAAAAGGAAAATAACATGCAATATAGTTGTAGAAAGAAAGCCAAAGTTCACCTTCTATTTTGTACTTTTTTTTTTTTTACAAAATATACAAAACCTAAAGATGTGCTCTATAAGAACTTCTTTATAGTTGTGCAAATGTGTAAAAGAGTCAAATTTCTGATCAGATGGTCGAGACATTTAGTTGATTAAAACATAGGGAAAGTTCTTCTCTACTCAGAAACCTGTTGTCTAACCTGTTGCTGTAAAGCGTCTATGTAGAATCTAGTGTATGTTTTTTGTTTTGTTTTTTTACATAAAAATGCTTAGCTGCGTTGCCCACTTTAAGCGCATCTGGTATATATACATCTTTAAATCAGGTTTGTCCATCTTAATTAATCATTAGCCCCAAATACACAGTGAATGGGAGGGATTATCTGATGGTAAACAATATTTATTCTTTCCCTTTAATGTTACTTTAGGGGCTCCATCAATACCAGTGATATATAATGAAGGTTAACCTATTGTGGTGTTGCAGTACAGTGGCAGTACAGTCCTTAGGGAAGACATTATACATACAAGAAATTGTAGAACTGTGATGGTAGATATGTAAAGTGGACTTTATCTGTGATCTACTGATATTTTAAGCTAAGTTTAAGTTGAACTGTGTGTATCTAGGTTATGAATAAGCCCATAGGTGATTGCTTATCTATTATAGTTTTAGGTGTTAGAGCTTAAAAATTTAATTGAGATTCTTGACCTTGTAAACAAACTTTATGTTTTTCACAGTTGATGATGTCAAGATGGTGAAATCCTCTGCTAAATGTTTCTATGATTCATGGATGACTTTTGGATTTCTGTTTTGTCAGACTAAAGGAGCTGCCGACCTGCAGGACTGGGATGGGGATAACAAGGAAGAGTTTTTAGAGGTAAACATTTTTATTTTATCTTTGGAGGTATACCCTCTCTATGTTTAAAGAAACTGAAATTGAACACTTACAGTTGTGCTTGTAAGTTTACACCCCCTTCTATTAAAGACTGAAAAATTAAGCCACCTGTAAAATGAATGGAAAATGACAAAAGTAATAATAAATACAGTTATAAAAAAAATGGGAAATGTTCAGGAAATGTGTTCAGACTTCTGCACCTGTTGACAGTTATGTTGGTTTATTGTTTAAAGGGCAAGGTATTTTAATTTGTCTGAAACAAATTATTGTTTTAGAATTAGTTTTTGAGAATTTAAAATAAATATTTTATTTTTCTAAATTATCATGTAGTACATTTTGATTTTTTTTTTTGTGTGTTATTTGAATGACTAGAGTGAATTTATTATTTTCTTTAAGGGGGGGGGGTATATAAACTTTCAAGCAGAACTGTATTTGATTTTCTCTTCCCTATGACTTCATGAATCATTTTCTCCTGACTTGTTGGTATACGGTGCCTCATACCTTTTCTGTTTTGTATTGTTACTAGCGTTACGCCAATGCCATTTTTTGGCCCAGATACCTGACTGTGTAGTATTGGCCGATACCGATACCATCTGTTTGAAATCGATGTGTTTGTATATATGAAGAACTTCATAATACTAGGATGTAAAAATAATTGCCATCATGGCTTTGCCAAGCTGCAGCCTACCTTTGTGAAGCAGGAAAAAGACTAAAACAAGGTCAATCCAGTAGAACTTTTTATTGGCTACCTGGAATGGGTGACAATAGTTGAAAAAACTCTTGGCTCTCAAAATGGTATCGGTGCGCTATTTGTCGGTACTCGCTGATACCAATACCACCATTTTAGTGCAATATCGGCGCAACACTAATTGTTACAAATGCAAACTTTCATGTTTGTAAGATTTTGTCTGTTTTATTTTTATTTGAACAAATCTGTTAAAAGTGTCAAGCATATGTTTTCTTTGGAAGAGCCATCTAACTCTGTAGTTATAGCAGCAGGTTTTTACGGGTCTGTCTTCATCAGCTTTACCCATCTAGAAGCTGACCACCAGCTGACCACCTTTCCCTTTCTCTGCGCTGCTAAATCTCTTAAGCTCAGCTTGGATGAAGATTATTAACCCACAAACAAGATGCTATCAGAACGTTTTAGTCCCCTCCCCTCAATTTTCTTAACCATATAAATGGTACAATCTGATTATTATTATTTTTTTGTTTTTAAAGCAAATTAATTTCAAAAAGTTCAGCTGAGGTCACATGATGGATCCAGGTTACCTCAGAGCTGGGAGATCAGAGTACCATAATCTCCAAGTGATAGTGTTCCAGGTTTCTATCGGTTCTCTGTTCCAACCATCATCATGATTAAAACTGTGTTCTACTCTGTATATTTTGCACATAAGCAGCTTAGAAATATGTATTATAAACACACAAAAAAACACATGTAACCAACTGACTTAATGCTACATCTGCTTGAAAAACTTTCAAAGTTTAACTACTGTTGATGCAAGAAGCAGCCATCTTAAATGAGGATGTCCAGTATAGGTCTGTTGCCTCATTTTTCTGACTTGGAATTCCAACTTTGCAGCTAAAATGTCCAACCTGGAGCTTCAAAGGCCTCACTTCTGATCACCAATGGAACATTTCTCACCTTCAGCTTTTTGTTGTCACTCTCACATTACAGACAGATTAGTCAGATTTACAAATATTTTCCTGTCAAAAGACTCCACCTCTTGAGCTGTGAATCCCTGCTGCTCCTCCAGAGTTACCATGGGTCTTTGTGTTGTTCCTTTGGTCAGTGCTTTCCTTTCCCAGCTTATTAGAAAAGTTTGATGGCCATGTCTTGGTATCTTTACAGATGAACTTTATCTTGTCATTTTGAGATGGTGGATGCTGTGTTGAATTTTCTTTAATAAAATAAATAAATACAGTTAGCTTCCACATATATTTTAGATCATTTATATTTGTTTAAATACCCAAAAACTGCCTAATTCATTTGTTCCACGTAACTATGCACAACTTGATGTTGATTTTCCAAATCCAATTCATTGAAGTTTGTGGTTGTGATGTATATAAAGAAGGAAAAATGTTGGTGGGTATGAAACACACTGTAAGACGCTGTTTTTCAGCCGGTGGATCGGGAGCCTCTTATCTACCACATGGACTCTGCGTCCCGTCAGACTGAGGACCACATGGAGTTGCCCGACGAGTTCTTTGAAGTAACTGTGGATGATGTGCGGAAGCGCTTTGCCCAGCTGAAAAGTGAGAGGTGGGTGGAAACGGGGGCGGATTTACAATTAGGCAAAACTTGGAAGTTGCCTAGGGCACCAAGCTCCTGGGGGCCCCACAAAACTCTGTTTACATGTTTGGTTAATACAGCTTTTACTTATATGTGCATATAAATTATGTTTTTGATAAAAATCCTTTCGGGAAAATGCCATCAGAATGCTTATAATATTAAGTGTGTCTCGGGGCTCCCCTTCAGTGTCCACCACATTGGATCAGTCCATTTGCTGCACATGTGCAGAAAGGTCCAAACAGACTGACAGCAGCAAACCATTGGGAAACAAATGGCTCAAAGAGCTGTGTAACCAACTTAACGCTTTTTTGGGTGATATTTAGCGACTTTTCAGACCCCTCTAGCGCTTTTATTTCAAAAAAGCGCCTTGTGCCAAATCTTGCGACTTTTTTCTGCTACCGGAGACTTTGGCGACAATATATAAAAGAGCTGAACTCTGTTCTCCAGAGCGAGTAGATTCGTAACCTTGCCTCCTGCTTTCCTCTATCTTGTCTGCTTTCATGATTCATGCAGGGCAGGCTGGCTGCATGCATTGCTGCAGCACAGAAAGAGAGGACCTTTAAACTTCGAATCCAGATTGCAAATGAAATTCACAGGTTTAATGCTCTTACTAATCTCGCTCAAGGTTGCGAAATAATTTATAAAACAATGTTTATAAAAAATGAATTGTTGCTCTTTTAAATTTTCCCCCCTTTCTGCTCCTCCTGTCTCTTCACCTCTTTCTGCTTCTTACCGAGGTTTTTTTCATTGGTTGGCATTAATTGTGGAACTAAATGGCAGAATTATATGTCTTTTATTTACTTGCTTTCTATAAAAGTTAATACTCTTACTATTTCCACAATTTTTCCCTTCCAGCTATATTTCTGCACTGCTTTGACAGACTTATAACAATTGCAGGGATTCTGAATCTCCTACAGTTGGATGAAATGAAATCTGCAATTTGGGTGATGACGTCAACTAGCGCCTTATAGCGTCTTTTAGGACAGCCAATGGCGGCCTTTAACTGAAATATCTTGATTATAATTCTGTATGTGTGACACTTTAAATGACACATCAGATGACGTCATTTAAAATATCTCAAAAAGCATTTCGATTCTCCAAAATGTGATAAAAAATATCTTGAACTGGTATATTCGCTAGACATAATATCGTCAGTCAAAGGGCAGTCAAAATTTTGTAAATAACGTTTGCCTGTTCTATAAAAATTACTGTATCACTATAATGGGTCTGTATTATGAGTTGTTTTCTCAATTCAGAGGGCCCCATGCCTGTCATTGCCTAGGGCCCCACATTTCCTTCATCCACCCCTGGTTGAAAAGACGTGATTGATTTTTTTTTTTTTCTTCCCAGTTTATAAACCCTGCTCTCTCTGAAGCAGATAATTAGTCAGTTTTTGCATGTGGTCCTCTGTTGTTGCGTCAATATGCAAGTATTAATTGTTAAATACCATAGCAATGATGCGAGACCACAGGCAGGAGGAAAGCAGGGCACCACTATGTGTTTAGAAGTTCAGTTTTTTTTTTTTTTTGTCCATCCTAATATGAGTCTGAAGCTTTTGGTTATTTATGAGCGCTTCTCTAAAACAGATGCAACTGAGTTTACTCTGCTATCTGTAGACATATCCATAGCTGTGGAGACATTGTGTGCTTTTGCAGACATGGTTCCTTTTATAAAACATCACACACTACAAAGGCTTCCCAGCGCAGCGTACTGGGAGCAATTAGTAATTCGTTTTTTGTGAAGCCCAGCCAGTCATGGACCAAACACAGTCCGGCTGAAACCTCGCTGTCTGTAACCTTTAATCTGCAACAACATCAGCTCAACGTGCCGCCTCATTGCCACGCTGCTACCATGTCAATGACTGCAATTACCAAAGCTGGAATGAACCCGACCGCAGCAATTAGTCTCTGCCTCTGATATGAGCAACATGCATACAGGGCCACACACATGCTTGTCTATTTCACAGACGAACAAACAGCCTGCAGCTTATTTCATGTGTATTTTTCCGCTGTTTCTTTAGGAAGTTACTGGAGGAGGCTCCCCTTCTGACTAAATCTCTGAGAGAAACTCAAATGAAGGAGAAAATGGAGCGATACCCCAAGGTGAGCATATTCCAGACATGATCACTTTTCTGTTATCTACATGGCTTTGCAAAGATTTAAACACCCCTGATTTTTATTACATTCCAGCAATAAAAAAATTTTTATTTGGATTTCTGGTGACAAACCAAGATGAAGTACAGTATAAAAGTGAATTGAGAGAAAAGTGATTTGTGGTTACATCTATTTTCTTAACCATAGAAATGTATAAAATACATTCACATTTAGCCTCTTTTTCTTTCATACCACTAAATAAATGCAGTCCAACTAAAAGCCTTCCAAAGACAATCTACTAGGAAGTAAATTGTTAAAATGTGTGAGAAGCCCTCAAAGGCTCCTTAGACACGAGCAGCATTAGGGCTAGGTGGTATGGGCTAAAAATCTAATCTCCGATTTCTTCCAGTGAATTGATTTTTTTTTCCCTCCTTAAATTTTCTAATAATGAGAAATGACATACATTAATTTCAAAAATTAGCTTTTATTTCAATCATCCCCTCTGGGAGGTGACTTAATTGAATGGGGAACAAAAATAAAGCTGTGAAAATGCTTGTAAGAAATGTTTCACAAGAAACAGATTATATGAAACTAAATGTCTGCAGCTAGTTGTGTTGCATAGTCAGCTAGTTTATCAGGTATAAGTACACATCTAAGAACAAAAAGTGATGAACCAGTGTCACCCTGAGATATAGAAGCCCAATGGTGAAGAAAAATTCTTGGTTTCAAAATATTAAAGCTTCAAAAACAAAAAATACAATGAATCGATTTTATGAATTAATTGCCCAGCCCTAAGCAAAAGCACAAACACAAAGATCAAAGCTGACAAGAGAGAAAAATTTAAAGCAGCAACATTTAGATCTATGGACATCTCACACAGCACTGTTCATATATTGTTTGAAAAAAGGAAAGCTTATAGGAGAGCTGCAAACAAACCAAGGCATGATGGGTATTGAGCATAACTGAAAGGCTGGAAGAGGAGAGGATTAAGCACCTACCAGAATTTGATTTTTGTAACTGTAATAATCCACAGCTCTCAACACATCTATACTATATGAACAGTTCAAAAAAGCCACTGTATAAAAGAAGCCATATTAAGTTTTGTTTGAAGTTTTAAGGAGACACAGTAAATATAACTTAAACTGGAAGTCTTGTGCCTATATTACCTGTGGAGGAAAACTAGGGGTGCACATGGTAAATGACCTGTATTAATACAGTGCTTTTTAAAGTCAGGGCTCTCCAAATAATTTTATACTAGATTCACTTATTCATCTATTTACACACACACACACACACACACACACACTGAATGTGGTGAATTATGGTGTAGGCACAGCTACTGTGCCCTCTGACCAAAATTAGCAGACAACATAAGACAGTGAAGTGGACAAAGCTGGGGTTCAAACCGGCAAGATGCTGAGTGATGGACGAACATCTTTTGTTACTGTTGCCACATGAATCTGAAGACACCTACTCCATTGTAAAACATGGGGGTAGCAGTATCATGCTATGGATCTTTTTTTTTTTTTCTCAGCAGGGACAGTGTAGCTGGTCTGAGCTGATGGAGGATGGGTGGAGCTAAATACAGAGCAGTTCTGGAAGACTTAGACTTAGGCAAACTTTATTGTCATTTTGTATACAGAGAGTGTATACAGAACGAAATTTTGTTTCGTACAAATTAGAAGCTGTTTCAGAATCTGCTGGACCTGCATTGAATGCTGCAAAGCCTCTTCCCAGAGGGCAGCAGGGAGAACAGTCCATGGTGGGGGTGTGAGGGGGTCATTGATGATGTTACGGGCTCGGGACACGCAGCACTGGAAGGAAAAGTCTTTTATGGAGGGAAGAGGATCCATAAAGAGATTCTCTGCAGTTCTCAGTACTCTGTTCACCTTCTGCAGCGCTGCAGCAGACCGGAAGAAAAGCTGTTAGAGGCAACAAAGGACGTTAGACTGAGGGAGTCCTGGGTCACCTTCCAGCTGAACAATTACCCAAAAACACACAACCAGAGCTACAATGACAAGCTTAGATCAAAGCATGTTTATGTGTTAGAAATGGTCCAGTCTAAGTTCAGACCCCAGTCTAGTTTAGACTCCTTGGCAGGACTTGGAATATTAATATTTACAAAGACACCCATCCCTCCAAAGTATTGGCTTTGACATTAAACAATTATTATACAATTTTTTTTATATTTTTGTAATCTTTTTCCATCACTGATAGTATTATGTTGGTCCAACACATAAAATCATCCCAAAATACACATTTTATTGTTTGGCATGACATGATGTGAATGTGACATAAATACTGTTGTAATACACCGTATACCATGTTCCTTTTAAAATATAGACTGTTTAACCTCTGTACCTCCAGGTGGTCCTGAGGGTCCAGTTTCCAGACAGACATGTTCTTCAGGGTTTCTTCAGGCCTCTTGAGACAGGTGCGTGTGTTTGTGCACATTGCTGAGAGAGCTAATTTCACCTGACTAGCCACAGGTATGGCTGCAATGTGCTGTATACTTGTGGCTCCATAACCACATTCATGACTGTAGCCGCAGCAGAGCGATGGGAGACAGAAAGAATGAGGCGAGTCTGTAATTCCTGGGATTATGAGCAACAGCCATTTGACAGCAAGCAGAAAAACAACAAATTAAAGGGAAATTCCTTCTGAAACAGGAGTTACTGTCCACAAGCTGAGTGATGGTGGGGAGGTTAAGCTTGTTTCTGATGCTTTTTTTCTTTGTTTTTTGTCCAGTTGGTGTAGTGAGACATTTTGTGAGGAGCCACTTGGAGGATCCTCAGATGAGTTTCTACTTGTGTAAGTGACATTTATCCTCCCATTAGTTATTCACACAATTTCCCTGTATCAAAACTCACACTTAACTGCATTAATATCCTGACTTATTAGAAACTGTCATAAGTCTTTTTTTTTTTACCATATATATTTTTTATTGGGTTCGAGAGTACAATACATTCATTTACATGAGAATACATTTCACTTATCCCCCACCTCCCTACATACTCAGAAATACCGTGAAAAATGTTAACAATAAGCAAACATGATTCTCTCCCTCGTAACGAGAAAACAGGAGGGGAGAACGGTTACCAAACCAACAAGCAAATTACAAAAAAAATAAAAACAAAAATGTTAAAATAGGAACAAATGAAAATAAGCAAACAGAATTTAGAGGAGGGATCTGAAATGCTTAGAGAACTAAATAAAAAAATATAACTATAACAGTTTTTACATGTTGTGCTTAAGGTTTGACCACCAAATCCCTTACCCAACTGCTGGCCTCTCTTAAAATCCTGGCTGGTGGTCCAACAGATCAAACCACTGGAAAAATTAGTGGTGATTCAATTAGAAAGGGGTTATGTCAGTTTATCTTAATTAAAGCAGTTGAGTCAACTAAGGAAAGAATGGGATTCCAAGTTTTATCAAATTTGACGACACATCCCCTAATGCTGTACTTGATTTTTTTCTAAGTGTAGGAGTGACAAGAGTCAGGGGAGGGAGGATTCTTATCCTTCCACTGAAGTAATATGCGTCTCCGGGCTACCAGAGATGCAAAAGCAGTAGCGTTACTTTCCCTGTTCATGAAGTGGGTCACTTCTAGAGGATAAAATAGTTATTAACTGGAGAAAGTTTCTGTGAATGCATTTATAAGGCTGTTTATAGCTGCAACCCCTGTTTTTTCTCACAGCAGAGTTATAAAATAACTTTTTATCTTGATCTATTTGCCATAATTAATCCAACATCATCGGCTAAACCCACTACAAAATTCAACTTCAAAATTGGTCACAAGAGAAAACAAATGAGCAGGGAAATGTTACCTCCTGACCTTAGAATCAATGTTTTCTCTTTAAACTGACTATTTTTTCTAAATTCCTGCAGCTGTGGTATAATTTAAATGCAAAGCAAATGTAAATATAATTTTGCTATTATGCCCTTTATTACAATTCTGCTACTCACTTTCTCTAGGCAAAAAGCTTTTATGGTTGAAGTTACTGTTGAGTTAAGTTGCTATCTTCTTCAACTACCACAAACGGAGGCCACAGCCCTCTTTTTTTGTTTCATTTTAAGCAGTTATGTACATAAAATCAAACTTTCACATTTTAAGGATACGTTCTCTCCTATTTTTTGTTAGAGCAGTGCAGCTTTTGTTGACAACAGCTCTCTGAGGCCAAAAGTGGTGATTCCAGGATTCTCATCCTGCTTATTACCACAACGAATCCAGGAAAACAAATGCAACCTGTCATTTTAGCATTCACAGCAATCTAATAATACTTTTGTGTGCTCACTGACACTTTTTAGTTTATTGGTTGCTTTCAGAAACTCTGCATCCTTATGTAGTTTGCTGTATGAATCTTTTACTGTTTAATTTTCTTTGTATGTGTATGCATACTCATGTTACATACCGACTCTACAGGGCTTGAAATGAGGAAATTAAAGGAATGGCACTCGCCTCATCTGTCTCTGAATGATGTCTTTCTGGATGTAACATTGTGGTTAAACCTGTATATCTATTGTACTGTATTTAATGCTTTTTTTACTTATCTCTCTCATAAATACAAATGTAAAAAGTTTTAACAGCTAAGGTGTTTTATCAAAACTGCCTTTCTTCTTAGCCTTTTTTATTTTTCACATTAAAAACTAATCATTCAAAGCAATGTATTCAACCTTGAAGCAGCATAGTGTCTTGGTGGAAAGAGAATTATCCATTATTTTCATATTTTCTTCAAATAAAATCTGCCTGCTGAGTGCCTACTATACCTAACAAATGTTCACAGCAAATAAGACTTTAACTATTTTTATAGTATATCTGCACCAGATTTGGATGTTTAAACACTTTAAAACTGGATGAAGAGCATCTTTGCACATCGACTTTAAAATCAACTCACTTACTCTTGATTTAGGTCTGGAGTTTGACTGGACCATTTTAGCCCATGGCTTTCCTTTGATCTCAACCTCTACACAGGAGCTTTGGCTTTTTATTCTGGTTAATCGTTCTGTTGGAAGGTGAACGTCCAACCTTCTGTTGTATCCTTTGCAGCTATACTTAGCTTCAACTCTTCGCACATCCCTCTCTTTGCTGCAAATAGCATGCCTACAGCATGATACCTCCACTGATCATGCTTCATAGCAAGTGTGCTGAACTCTGTGTGATGTTCAGAGTTGATATTCTACATGTGGGCCAAAAAAGTTCAGCTTTTGTCCCGTCTCTAAAAAGTGGGTTTCCTCTTGGAGCTCTTTCAAAACCTCTCCTCTCATCTTTCTGTGGTTCTTGTTTCTAATGCTGTTTATGACATATTAACCTCTAACAAACATTTTCTGAACAGCTTGATTTATACTGGGAAGATCTCTATTTACTGATGGGGGAACTTCTTACTGCACTGGATTTTAAATAGAGGAACAACATTAGAGTGACTGAATAAAACATTTTTTTATTTATTGGACAATGAACAAACAACACATCATTTAAGTTTGCAGGGATAATATGACAAAATTAAAAGAAGTTTAAGGGGGGTGAAAACTGGAATCTGTTCAAAAACTTAAACAATTGCTGTAGCTTTGTTTTGCTTTCAGTTTTTTTAAAAAAAAAAAAAAAACATTCTCCTTAAATGCAGGACATCTTTATATCCTGAATCAAGTGGTCATTTTGTGACTCCCACCTTTTCTTTTTGTTACAGTCATCACGCCACCAAAAACTATTCTCAAAGACCCTTCGGCTACACTGATAGAGGTAAGATTATCTACACTGTCACTGATAAAGTCTACTGGAGTTAGACTCCCAACAAAACCAGTTTTCTTTTCCCTCCTAGAGCAGTGACGAACTATAAAATGTTCCGGCTGGCTCTTCAAAGAACCTCTGCATTCCCACCCCCTCCATCCCTTTTCTCACTTCTACTCATAGTTGCCTCCCTCTACCACCACCTCCCCACCCCTTTCTCCACTGTCCTTGACCCCAGCTGGGCTTGATTTTTCCCAGACTGGCACATGGGGTTAATACAGGCCTCTCTTTGATCTTAACACACACACACAGGGAGCAGTGGGCAGCCAGGATGCTTTGTTGCCTTTGAATGGTGTCAAAGTTATAAAATATCTACCCTCCGTCCAATCCCTTCTGTTCTTTTCCTTAATTTTAAGATTTATTAGTTGGGTTTTAGTAGATTGACGCTTTATTATTTGACACCTGGAAAAGCAGGGAAGCAAAGGGGAAGGAGTTGTTTGAAGTTTATCATGTTCCGGTGATGATGATGAAGATTCGTCCATTAGTGGAGCTGGTGCACACACTAACAACCCTAAAAGAAAAGCGTTAAAGACCCACTTTGAAATGTCTTTGTTGAACGTCTTCCCCGTCAGGATCCCATCAAATCTGATGTTGCGATGTCTGTTAACTGTCTTTGTTCTCCGTCTCACAACCTGTTTCCCTCTAGTCGCCCCCCTTCCTGCACCCCAACTCCGTTTTCTTTTCTTTAAGCCTCCAGCACCCAGACAGCCCCTCTCTTGCCTTCACCCTCCTTTCACCCCCATGTCTCTATCCATTAGGGACTTAAAAGCGTTAAAGCGTTCAAAAACAAAATCTTTAATCTCCGCACACACCCAGGCATGTACCTCCTGTCTCCCTTTCTGTGTCTATACATCAATCTTTAACGCACAGAAGGAATCTTTAATCTTTTTCTGTCATGTCCCAAAGACATCTGTCCATATGTGTCTGGCACATACACACCAATGCACACTTTAATCACTTTGTTTCATGTGTGGAAAGGAATGTTTCCAAACCCAGAAGCCCTTTGATACCAGGCAAGTTATGGAAGAATGGCAAGAGGACAGAAAATCTCTTCTCATATCACTTTGGCACGAGAATGTCCTGTCATATCACGTAAAGTCAAACATCTCTCATATTACATAGCTTAAAAAATATTTTCATTGTCTGGTTTAGAATACCTTCTGACAAAAATCCCTTCTTGTGTCATAGCGAGTCAAGAGTTTTGTCTGCTATCATGTCTGGTCAAGAGAGTCTTATGTTACATACAGTCAAAAAGGTTTTCCTCATATCCCACTGAGTCCAAAATCTCCTTGTTTCACATCAGGGCTGAAAACCTTTCATATATTACATCACGTGAAGAAAGTCTTATGTCATGTAAAGTCAAAGGTCTTTACTTATCATATAGTCTCCTTTTTTCATGTCATATCAGGTCCAAAATATCTTCTCAAATAACACCACTCTCCTCATATTGAATGGGGTCAAGAAAGACATTAATCTTTGCCTTTATCCAATTGGGTTAAAAATCTGTTCTCCGGTCATGAGGTAAATTACACTATGGAGGCCTCAGTCACCGGTTTGTTTCCCAGTATGTGGAGCTTTGCCGTTTTTCTCCCTTTGCTCTCTTAGAGCCTATTTGCCCACTTTAGCTCACTTTCAAATTTAAAAAAGGGAAGAAAAAAATCAAACTAACTTGTGAAAAACATCTGTGACAGAAAAATAGTTGAAATAAAAAAACTTGTTCTCTTTGTTTTGAACAGGAAGTCTTTCTCTTTTTAGTACGCACACAGTATTTCAAGTAAAGAGCCACACTTTTTGTACAATGGATTATAAAAAAAACTGGTTCAGGGAGTTTGGTTAGACATAGACTCTCCCTTCCATGGTGATCAACCCTGTCCTTGTCTCTTTGCCACCGTCTCATGTTAACCTTGATCCCCTTTGCTGCTTTGCTATGGTTATCAGACACTGCACCTCTGAGGATGACCACTAAAGCAAGGGCCTTCACCTATCAGTCTGTGTCAAAGTAAATGTCTCATAAGA